TAGAAAAGGTGGCTCATCCACCTTTTCAATCCTGTTATGGATATTAATCCATGACGCTGCAACACAAATCAAGCTTAAAAAGCTACTGTCTTCCTGGAGTGAAGATGTAATTTTCTTTTGTGTCTCAAATAACTCATGCTTCAGAGTTCTGGATGGCTTTTTCTGAGCTTCTCACGGGAAATTTCCCACCCACCCCCATATATTATATTCTTTTAAACAATTAATGCAGGTAACAATGACTGAAACTTGAAATTTGTTTAGCAAGAGCGAAATCCTCCATTCTCTTCCAAGATGATGAAGGGTTAACTTCCCAACTGGAAAAATTTCAGCCTGACTGTCCTTGCTTCACAGTAGGATAGTGACAGACTCCAGCAAAGAACAGAAAGGAAACATGCAGCCAAGTAAGGAAAACACTTTGGTCAAGCAAATATATTAGGCAAACCTCAATGTCAAGAAGCACAAAGACTGGAATAGCAGAGCCTGCACTGCAGAGTTTATTCCTGTAAAAGTAACTAGGCTATTTTTCCTTACATAGAAACCACCGCAAAAGTCTTGGGAGGCAGAAAAAGTTCGTTGCTCAACAGCTTAAAAGTCAGCCTTGCATCAATGTAGTTAAAAAAAAAAAATATATCTGTACTTGAGGCTACAAAACGCTAATATTTTAAGTTTCAGCATCCATATTGAAACTGAAGATAATAAGGAAACCTTGCAAATGCTATAGAATCTTACAATTTAAATCTAGATAATTGTCTTCATTATCTGTACTTGAGGCTACAAAACTCTAATATTCTAAGTTTCAGCACCCATATTGAACCTGAAGATAATAAGGAAACCTTGCAAATGCTATATATCTGTACTTGAGGCTACAAAACGCTAATATTTTAAGTTTCAGCATCCATATTGAAACTGAAGATAATAAGGAAACCTTGCAAATGCTATAGAATCTTACAATTTAAATCTAGATAATTGTCTTCATACACAATAATCAAGGAGAATATTGTTGTACTGCTCCTATAAAATCTTACAATTAGAATCTAGATAATTGTCTTCATACACAATAATCAAGGAGAATATTGTTGTACTGCTCAAAATTAATAAGATTTCTCCACAGGTCACTGGTTTCATGACCATTTCTTACTACACATATTAAGCATTTCTACTGGAAAAATAAAATTGCCCCATAAGTTAACAGAACAACACAATCCCTAATACATGGATATAAATTTTATACATGCATGTTTTAAACACCTCAATTTCAGCATTAATTCTGCATTAAACAGAAAATACAACCTAAACCTGTTCACCCACCAAAAAATGCAAAAAATGTGTATTTTCTCAGAGATAAATATATGAAGGAGCTGCAAAAAGAAAAAAACCAAAACCTTGAGAAACACAAGTGCTACATTTATAGGAACATAGCCATTTACAAAATGTCTCTTTTTTTTTTTTTTTAATGGTTGCCTTTCAAGCTGTGCCAACACTACAATGAACATAAAAGATCTGCCTTCCTAGCAGATTCAGAAGAATAAGCAATTACTACATTAGAGAAAATAGGCTCAGAAATTTCCACCAATTGGTAATTGGCAGCAACGCAACTTGTTATTTGCCAAACCCCACAAAGCCCTTGGGCACCAACCTCTACATATACCAGCAACGAACAAACAAAAGAAAAAAAAATAAAAAAATCCCTATTGCCTAAACCTGGGGTCAGCCCTTCATTTTGGAGAAAAAGAAACAAACAAAAGAGCCCCAGAAGTCTCCTCCTAGATAAGCAGAAGGAAGCTTTTATTATGAGGGTGTTTAAAGCTGTAGGTCTTCTATCTGGGGCGCTCTACGCAGCGACCACTTAAATCAAGATTACACTATGGACCAAAGGCTCCTTTCCAAGGTCTATGGAAAAGTCTGTCTTCCAAATGGAAGGAACATCTCCACATTTATGCACTACAACTGCTGAAACAGTTTACACAGCCAGGCAGTCGTAATAAGCAGCTATTTGCAGGGAGAACTAGGGATTTCCCAATCCTGCTTGAGAACATCTCCATCTGCAATCCAAGTCTGATTATTGCCCTTACCATCAAAGGGCAGAAGAAGGAGGTTCTGCAGCCATTTGAAGTCTCACACTTATTCTGGAGCATTACCAATGATTGGGTCTGCAATCCAAGTTTGGTTATTGCCCTTACCATCAAAGGGCAGGAGGAGGTTCTGCAGCCATTTGAAGTCTTACACTTATTCTGGAGCATTACCAATGATTGGTCATCCTCACTAGGAACTGAAGACACCCATCATCCCCCATGAGTGTGTGACTCCGTACTCCCCCCAAACCCCAACCTGACCTTGACCTCCCTTAACCTTGCCCAAGCAATAACCACCCATGGTGGTCACAATGGGAGTGTCTGGTCTTGATGGCTACACCCAGCTCAAAGTGGGTCCGGGGGAGGCAGATAACAGCACAATAGCCAAGGGCTAATTTAGGGCAACAAGCTCACCTAACCACAGTACTGATACTGTGGTTGAAATGCAAATATGACTATAAATCAATCATCTTACCCCAATAAATAGTCAACAGCCCAAGAGCCCTTTGAGTTCTCCTGCACGGCAGCAGGCACCTCTCACAGTTACTCCTCAAGGCTGAGAGATTTTCCTGCCACAACAGATGCTCCGTGAAGAGACTAACAGCATGCTAAACTTTGAAGCTTCACTCAGATTATATCATTGATCGATTGTACACATATAACCCTTCAGACATAAGCCATCAACCGTGTCTGGGACTAGGACTGGATCCAGCCACACCTTGAGAAGGAGTTTAGAAAGCAAGGGGTCCTCTCTGAACCTCACGACTCAATACAAAGGTCTCCCTGTCAATTTTGTCTGACCCTGTCCTCTATGCAGTAAATAACCAAGTGCACCTTGCCATCAAATCTCATGAAACCGCTGTGGCATTTACTATCAGATTTTGTTAAATCGCCATTTTATATCAATTTATCGTGTTGTACGAGCAAAGTGCATCACTCCATTTGCAACAGGGTGATGGTAATGTGCAAGCAGCATATGTCAGATTTAATGTTAATTAATTTTATTGATCCCCGATGTACTACTGCATCTTCCACATCAATGCAGACCAGTGAGTTTCTACTGTATTAATAGAGGTGAATCTGAACTGAGAATTCTATTTTTTGCAGTTTCCTTTCCTGACTCTTTCTATCTACTTGCTTGAGAAGATTAAAATCATTTTATCTGAGACAGTAACAGAAGACTTCATGGACAGCAGAGACTAATTACTGCATAATAAATATCCTCAAAGCTATTTTATTATGAATTAAATTAAACATGACTAAATCACATTTTGGATGTTCCTAGAAAAGGCTCTCTCTTAAAAAAATCTTGTTAACAAATCTCATTAAAAATCAAACCTATTAGAAGAACTAAAGAGCACATTATAGTGCCGCCAAACACTGAAAATTGAGAGTCTCAGTGACGCATTTGCCTCGCTATATTTAATACCAAAGAACAGAATAAGTTCAAATACTTAATTATAACAAGTGGATCCACAGCACAGAGAACATAACCAGAGAGACAGACCTCATTGAGACAATATGAGAAAGTGCACTACTTCTCCAACAGATTTGCTAACAACTTTCAACACAAAAAGCTCGTTTTTAAGCAGTCTACAGGATTACAACCATTATAAAAAACTTGAAAACAAAAATTCACAGAATCCCATGGGGTTGGAAGAGACCTCTGGAGATCATCTAGTCAACTCCTGCCAAAGCAGGTCCACCAAGAGGAGATTGCACAGGAATGTGTCCAGGTGGGTTTGAATGTCTCTAGAGAAGGAGACTCCACCACCTCCCTGGGCAGCCTCTGCCAGGGCTCTGCCACCCTCACAGCAAAGAAGTTCCTCCTCATCTTTAGGTGGAACTTCTTACATTCAAGTTGGTGCCTATTTGAATTCCCATACCTATTGGAATGCAACTGAAAATTTGACAAGCAGTTCATGCAAATGGGCAGATGTGCAGAATACCTGCTGAATGAACAAGGATCCTAATAGTTAGGCAACAATACAATAGTCTAGGTACCTGATACTGAATATAATCTACTTTGTGGCCTGTGTTGCTCTGTATCACTAAAGACACAATGCTGCTGAAGTTCCATATCAGTATCAAATAAAAGTATCAAGTATCAAAGTCCTGCTTCCACGGAGGGCCAAGTCATTAATCTGACTGATCAACAGAAATGCATCCCCAACACTTACCTGGTGCAGCAGAACATTCTATGGACCACTCATTTGTACATTCCAACTGAGAATAAAAGACCTACTGCAGCATTGATCCTGGCAGCAGGTTTTTGCAGTGCTAAAACTAAAAAAAAAATACAACCACCCCCCAGAATTCTTCATTTCAGATAAAATTCTTGACCTTAGACCATGTCAATTACTACCTCCAGAAAGACATTTCAGTCCTTTAGCTACATAAATAGCAATCTGTGGAAGTGAAATAGAAGGAGGCAGCAATATTTTTCTTATACCACTCAGCCCTATGTAGTTGTCTGAAACCATGACTCTGCTTCTGAAAACACACAGTATTTTAACAAATTTGCTTTCAAATGTTTCTACTAAACCGTATCACTTAATCAACAGGCACTTTTTTAGCAATGCAACAGGGTTAGTATACAAAAAAGATATTTAATTTTTTTTTTTTCCTTAGAATGCAAAGCGGTCAACTTCTTTTGCACTACATATAATTTTAATTTTTTTCAGATATTAATATTTTAATACTAAATTTTAAACTTGCCATTTATTAAACTGTTCCTTTTTCAGAAGCAGGTTAAAGCATATACAGCTACAAGAATTCAAGTTCCAAAACCAAAGAAGCTCCGATTAACTCGCAATTATTAGATGGTCACAGCAATTTATTCTCAAGTATTCAAATTCAAGTTCCAAAACCAAAGAAGCTCTGATTAACTCACAATTATTAGATGGTCACAGCAATTTATTCTCCTACCTGTTTTCCATCCAGTGTACAAAGTCTCTTGACTACACCCGAATCTAACTTAATGGCTTCTGTGATGTCAGTCAAGACCTGTTCGAAGGAGTGAGCAGTCTTCTTATTCAGCAGAATTCTCACAGCTTTCCGTGGTTTTACTCCACTCCTAATAACAGTCACTAACTTGGGTTTAATGAAGTCTTTACTCTCCTTCACTTCACTCTTTGTAGATGACAAAGATGTCAAGGATCGAGTGGATCCAGTCCTTATGTTCACACACCAGTTTGGATTGACATTCTTGGTGTAATCAACTTTGCGATACGGTTCATTGGATGCACATACGTAACTTTCACCTGGAAAAGAGAGGACATTTTCATAATTTAAGGGGGTTTGAAGCTATTTTTTGCCAATTTGAAAAAAAAAAAACAACTAAAAAGACAAATATTTCAGGAGTGATTTTCCAGTACTTCAACTGCAAGCAATTTTAAATTGAGGACTGTAAATTATCAGAGCTTTACATCACCCAAATAATACTCTCAGAGTGGTTTCAACAGGTTTCAAAAGACCTCTGGTTGAAGTAGAAAAAAAAGTAAAGGATAATGAGGGGGTTGAAGATATTTCCCATTTATTTTGGATCATAAGTTCTGACTGCAGAGGCATTTTGCAAATGTTTAAATTACTTGAGTTCACAATGTATGACATTAAGAACATTCTCCTACAGCAAATACCCAGGTCCTTCCCTACATGTTCCTCAAGTATACACTTCAAGATGTGTACACACATACATACCTATGTTTCATAACAAATTATTTTAAAATAAGCAAGTTTTAACGGAATAAAAATCAAAAACCTTGAAATCCTTGCCCTCAAGGAGACATTAATTCACTGTTATTGCCTTTCTACCAAGGATACTCTGTTGGAATGTATTCACTTCAACAGTTTTTAGACCAAACACCTGTTGAGGCCACAAATGAGACTTTGAGACTACAGAATATGAAAGGCATCTACTACACTTCCCCATTTTTCTTTCTTTCCTAATTCAAAGCCTGCGCTGCCAATATCTCCTGAAGTCATGAAATTCCCTTCCAGAGGACAAAAAAAATGTTATCACAGGCGAGTAATGCACCCCTTTACATTAAATTATTTAAAGTGGCACCAGCCATGATGCAGACCTAAGGAATCTGTTACTTTTTTCCATTCCTTGACACAATGCAAGGCTCAAGACTAACTGGCTTTTTTCTTTTCTCTTCAAACTGCAATTTATTGTTTGCTACAACGGTCTGACAGCAATATTAAAGGTGCAGACCATGACACAGGACATCTTTGACTCTGGGTTATTTCTGTAATATAAGAGACACACACATCCTTGGCGTTTCACAAAATGACATGTAAAGACTTTCTCGAAGTGGTAGAACATTGCCAGAAGGATGCCAGGGAAGCATTCCAAACTGATGGAAAATGCCTTTCCTCCAGGCAGAAGAACTACCTATACCTTAAATAGCTTAGCCTGTTCTAAGGTTAAAGCTACATGCCCAAGGTCACTGGTGGAATAAATCAAACTCACCTCCTATACCCTTGTAAGGGGAGTAAAGAGTACATGTACATCAATTGGACAGTATTGTAAAAGTTAGAAAATGTATACCCATGTTTAGATACACACTAGAAAACTTAATACTTTTACATTCTGAACTCATTTGGAGAGCTGATTTAGCTTAGAAGTTGTACAGCTTATTCTAAAAGCAAGACAGTAAACTACTTTCAAACCCCCGAAGAATGACTGTGATCTGAAAGACTTTTTCTTGTTTCTTTTCCCATACCAATTCTAGTTTATCTTGTATTCAGACATTCTTGAAAGTTTACTTGCTGTATTTGAAAGAAAACAGAATTATAATTAAGTCATGTCAACAATGATTTTGTTTGGGAAAGTTTGGCAGTCAGTTCTTCTTCCACAAACATCACTGGGACTGTACTCCACAGAGGTACAAAGAAAGAATGGGGTGTGAAGTTTTACGGATGTCCTGCCTTGCCTCTATTCTCCCTCTTCACCCATCCCCATCATTCCTCCTCGTATTTGTAGATCAAGAGGTGCACAAAACAGAAACAGTCTTCTCTTTCCCCAAAAACAAAGAAAAATGAGCTGTTTTCAGCCTACAAACCCCTTGAACAGGATTTCTACACAGCACTAATCTACAGGGAGAGGAAAAAACCACACATGAAACCACACAATTTAGAAAGAACTGTGGTGGCCTAGAAGCTTACGCTGCCCCAGAACTACATGCTAAGTTGCAACAAGTCCCCAAGTGACCCAATTTAGTCAGTCAAGCTTTATGGAAGACATTGGACTAGATGACCTCAGAAAGTCCCTTCCAAACTACTTTATACTATGATTCCAAATAGGTGGGCAGTTCTCTTTCAACAGCCGTTTTCAGAGACCTTTCACTCATCCACCCTGTTATTGTGAAATAGCATGAGATATCCAAGTTTTGTTACAGCAGCTCAGTTAGGATCATCGAATTGTCTAGGTTGGAAGGGACCTTTAAGACCATCTAGTCCAACCATCAACTTAACTCTGATTAAAAAAAAACAAACAAACAACAAAAAAACCCCACCAAACACCAACCAAAAGAAAACCATATAAAAGAACCCCCCACATCACTAAACCATGTCTCTAAGCACTATTGTCAACCTGTCTTTTGAAGACCTCCAGGGATGGTGCCTCAACCACTTCCTGGGCAGCCCATTGCAAGGCTTAATAACCCTTTCAGTGTAAAAATTGTTTCTAATATCCAACCTGAACCTCCCCTGGCGCAACTTGAGGCCTTCTCCTCTTGTCCTATCACCTGTGACTTAGGAGAAGAGACCAATTCCCACCTCTCTACAGTTGCAACAGAAAGCAAAGGCTTCCCACTATACACCCTCTAATATTAGATTCAAAGGACTATGCTTATTTTCTGAACAATTTCTAATAAGCCATGAAGCTGTTTACCTCTAAATAGAGCGCTGCCAAATAAGAAGCATCTCAAAGAAGCTGGTAGTTCTAGTGAGGTGGTGTGAGGAGCAGAAAAGGCCTTGACTCAGTGTAAGCGCTGCTCAGCAGTAACTAAAACATCCCTGTGTTATCAACACTGTTTTCAGCACAAATCCAAAACATAGCCCCATACTAGTTACTACGAAGTAAATTAACTCTACCCCAACACAAACCCTTAGGACAGTTTTTTCCACAATTGCATGCTCAACTTATGGATGCACCTAGCAAGTGACTTTGGTTTTTGTGTGTGCATGGTGGTTAAGAATGCTAATTATTATTTCCTGCTACAAAAAATGAACACAAGGTAATTTAGTCATTATTATGGGTGCACAATAATGGGCGTTCAACTTTGGAAACTCCTTTGCTTTGAAGTTTATCGATCTGCATAAGACTTTGGTAATATTTAATCATCGTCAGATAATAACTGTTATATAAATAAACCTGACAACATCCTATGCATGAGAATACCTTTCTAAGCACACTGAGTACCCCTAGCATCTCAAAGATTTATTAGCTTCAGTGTATGAAGTCACCTGTCACCTCACAGTAACCTCTTCTGCGCAGCCTGCCCAGCTGTGTGCAATAAAGTTAAATAAGTTCTAGCAATCAGCACTTCAAGGTACCTCAAAACTCACCATCATTGAGGATCTTCAGAACTATGCTTTCAAAAATTGAAAAGAATGCACTTCCTAGACCATAAAAAACCCTATAAATGGACACAAGACAATTCAAAGGTAAACCCCAGGGCTGAAGCTTAAATTAACAAAGTTAAAAAACCCACAACAAAGCATGGAGTGTAATCTATTCTCTGTCAGAGCTGTCCTACAACACCCTTTAGGACAGCAGAAACTGTCCCATTGTAAAATTTTCAGTCAGTATTAATCCAAAAGGTTCTTTATTTCTTTAAGTTCCCTTTCTTGATGCATGAATAAAATAATTTCTTGACTATCTGAATAGGTTGCAATGCCCTACAGATTTCTTCTTATTATTTCTTTTCCTTTAAGCAGAAGTCTTAGGGGTTTTTTTCCTGATGAAAAAAATAGGAAGTACTTTCAACTTAAAACAATGTAATACCTTAAAAGAACAAACAAATAACTTGTTTCAAGTGCATTTAGCCAAGCCTTAAGTTGAAGCACAAACTATTTCAGCTTTTAAAAAAAAAAAAGTATCTGGCAAAAAAGGATTGAAAAATTTCCTATAATTGGCAGATATGGGAACAACTAATTACTTGAGAACTGTAGTATATAACAGATTGTTTAGTAAGTGTTTTAAATTCCACGTCTGCTTTCTTATACTAGCCATATGAACTAAACTTAGTAACACAGGTCTTATATGGAAAACAGATTTTACTACTACACCTGCAAAGCAGGCACATATGGTGGGATTAAAGCAAGGACTGTAAGTGAGAAAACACATAAATTGAGTGACTTGCTTGGTTCACCACTTAAAAGAGAAAGTTTTTACTCTATTGATACTACTATTTAAACTTCTAATTATTTCACCACAGCCAGGACTTCCCCTACAATTTCTAAGTTCTATTGAGAGCTTTGCAAAATACCCCCAAAACGCTAGAAATGGAATATAATTAGGAATCCGATTACTGCTTTCTGCATAAAGAATGATTTTCTAGGAATGAGTTAAACTTTTATTTTGGTGGTTTAACAAGGGCATACGATTGATTATTCAGCACAATATTTAAGGAAAAAAGAAAAAAAAAAAAAAAAAAGGGCAGGGGTAAGTTAAATCACACCTATAAATTCCACTACAAGAAGGTCTCCTACAGTATGGTGTATTCAAAAAGCATGCCTAAGAAAACACGACCCCCTGATGAGCAGGCATTTTTTAACACTAAGTTATTGTTTAAATTGTTATTGTAGCCATCCCTCCAAAGTAGAAAATGCACTTATATATGTCTGTTTGGAAGAAACATCAAGTCATTTTAAGAGTATTATCTTTTTCATTATATTTTGTAAGTAAACACCTGAAAGTGTAATGTTACATCCAATATTTGCTCACAGCTTTAACGTATGACTTGATTTTAAATCTGTTTGGGATTAATTAATTTATAAATACACACTCCTGATAATCTCCACGCTCTCCTAGAAAACCAATATTTGTAAAATGTTACATACAGCACTTCATTTTTTTGTTTAAACAAGTCAAATTGATTTCACTGTCAACAAAGTAACAGATAACTTTACAGTTAAAATCACATACATAAATAAGTTTGTGTGTTCCACTAACTGCCCTGACCGAGATTTTTCATGTGTCTAACCTAAATACGTATCATTGCAATTACTAAGAAAATATTTTTTGAGACTTCAG